GGGCTCTGGTCATCATGGCAAAGTCCTTTTTTTTTTTTTTTTTTTGCCTATGTCTCCCCTGCCCATTTTTTTTTCCCCCTTTAAAGAAAGAAAATAGAAAAAGGTGTCAAGCATAGAGGAACACTCAAAAGAGACAAAACATTGACCTTGGAGGGCCAAGAACTGTTGAAAAATAATAAGATGAGACAGTCCTGGGGCTGTGGGAACTCGTGTTCCCTGAGGCCCCATTTGGAACGGGGCGTCTCTATGCCAGAAATTTGAGCCCGAGATTACTATATTGTGATCTCATGATCAAACCTAACGAGACAAAGACGTGGCCAAGTGGTACTGCTTTTAATATCTCAGAGTTAGCGGTGGGGATCCAATTATTTTCAGTTTGGATACATCTCCCCTTTCTCAACATCTCCATGTGCATAAATAAGATGAAGTGGCCTTCCAGAATCCTTTGGGCCGAACTCGGATCACTCGGATCACTCGGATCACTGGGCAGACCGCTTGGTCTGGGACTGCGCACCTGTCTCTCCCATGCGGATACCTCCAGTCCCGCCCCAAGCCTTCCGCCTGAAGTGACATCCTTTGACAGGTTAAAGACAGGAAGGGAGTTAGGCGTGCAGGTGAACTGATAAATAATGACAAGAAGAGAAAGGATGCTATAAGAGGGAAAAGACTGCATACGGACCCAGTGGAATCAGAGGAAGGGATGATGTCACTGGGGGGCTTCTCTCGGCCTCTTTCATGGACGTGAGAACACAGGGCTGCTCTGATGCCCCGAATCGCCACGCGCACAGGCTACCTACCCTGAAATGTCTCAGAGCCGGTCCCTGTGGACCCACACGGGCCAAATGCTGCGACAGAGTCACAAAGATGGGAGAGGCAGGAAGGACAGTGGTCAGGAAGGCGGCACCAGAGGGCTGTGCTCAGTCCAGGCAGGAAACGCTGTTCCCCGCAGCCAAGCCTAACCGCTAAGTGAGCCGCGGCTGGGAACAGAGAAGACTGATAGTCCCCAAGGCCCCATGCGTGGCCGAGGGCGAGAGGACGCACAGGTGGACTGAGATGTCCTACCTGTGTGCTGGCAACGCTGAAGCCCCCATTCACTCAGGACACACGAGGCACTGAGGGGGCAAGAGCACCTGACAGGTGTGCCCACGCTGACCAGTTCCCTGTCACACTCATTCGTTCACTCAAGACACAGGCACCTGACCGTTAATAATCTCTACCTGAGCAAATTATTCCTTCACTCGAAACAGGATCACTAAGGAGCTTGGTGACTTCTCTGGCCTGGGTGCTCCGGGCCCCAGTGCCACCTACGGACAACCACACACTACGTGGTGTGATGCACAAGCTCACAGGCTGTGTGTCCTACGTCTGCTCCTACAGACAGCAGACTGCCCCTCCGCAGCCTCTGCAATCTAGCTGATGTTGTCTACTGTTACTCCCCATTTAAAATCAATATTTTAAGTGTGTGCTTAAATGGTATCAATAGCAATTAGAGAGGAGAATTCGGATTCCACCGCAGATGGAGTTAATTGTTACGGCATCGACCTCCCGAACACGCTCCTTTCTCCAAATTACACCGCCATGACGGAGCGGGGACGCGGGGCGCCCTCTCCCCTCCTGCGACAATACATTTCATATCGAGTGCACTGGGAAAAATGGCAGTTGTTGCAGAATCCATCCAAAAAGATTTTTTTTTTCTTCCTGGGAGTAATTAAAAGATGCTTTTCTTGACTAATGGTTCCCCGGTTTAGGAATGGGAAGTCAATACGGCTTCGCCGCCGTCAGCTTCGATTGATCACAGTGCTGGTGAGGTTGGACCGGCAGTGCTCAGGGTGGCTGAGAATCTCTGGAACCAATTATGAGCCGGCCGAGGCCGCCGGACCAGAGGGTGCAGGGACCAGGAGCACACGGCCTGCCAGCCGGGCGGAGGCACCTGTTTCCCTAACTCCCTGCCCGCAGGGCTGGGCGACTCCAAGGTTCGGTGGTTCTGGGGAGTGGCTGTTTCTCTGGAGAAGGATCTGCTGTGTTCTATGTCCCCACGGTCCTGACCCCGTATATGTATGTGTGTGTGTGTTTGCAGGGAGGAAAGCACGCTCCTAATTATACCCACTGTCAGAACGAATCTTTTGAACAAACTCTAACGGACCAGAGCTTCTCAAGGAAACAAAGAATGAGACGGGTAGATGGCACTGGGCTCTTCCTTGGCTAGAGATACACAGTTACTAAAATAGTGCTTTTTAGGGTTCCATTAGGGCCACATGAGAGACCCTTCCGGCTGTTTGTTCTGACCGTCATGGGTTCCGCGGAGACCAGAGGGGGTGGGTTGTGGGGGTTGTCTCCTTCCCGTCTTGGAGAGGCAGGACCCAGACCGGATCACAGACCAGAGTCCTGGAAATTCTAGCCCAGACCTGGAGTACCTCGTGTCTATTAGCAGACACCCCAGGCGGCAGGGCAGGTGGGGGTGTCTGAGTGACTGCGTGTTCTAACAGGATGAGAGATTCTTTCATTTTTCACAGGGTATCCAGGACGGCTTGTTCCCCCAGGGCCACGCCTTCCGACGGCCTCCCTGCCTCGTTGCCATCCCTCCCAATGACGCTGCTGCCTGCCTTTGGTCCTTCTGGGAAAGGCAGACATACACGGAGGCATAAACAGACCCACAAACTCACCCTCTGCCCACCCCTCAGGTGCTGTTACCCACCCTCCCACCCCCAAGGCTCCCCCAGGTCTCCGCTCGGCTCTGGCCCCACCCATCCTGACAACCAGCCCCGTGGGAGACCGCCCCCCACACCGACTTCCACATTTAACCCCAATGGGCGCACTAGGGCTTCCCACTCCTGCCTTTGCCTAAACCCCTCCCCACCCTCAGGCCTGGCTATCACCCCACATTCCCGAGTCCAGCTCGGATGCTGTTTCTCCAGCGAGACTTCCCTGGAGCACAGCGGCTATGAGAACCCCTCTGTCCTGTGAACTCGGCCCAGCCCTGGCCTCCTCGTCTGGCCCCAAGGGCACCCCTGACCACAGGACAATTACAAGAACCATTTATCACTTCTTTTCTAGAAGGTGGTCAAGAGTATTTGCTGAATTTAATTAAACATGAAACTCCCTGGGAAAAATTACTAAAGGCACAAAGAAACATTCAATTCTTATAGGTGCCTATCTTGTTAAGAATGTACAGATTTCTGAATTCCCAAAGTTACCTGGAAACACCAGATAACCCCCCCCGCCCCCCCCCGGCCTTGGAGAGGAATTCCAGCTCCGCTCGCTCTTTAGGGAAGCCCAGGATGGGTTTTAACAGCAGCCACCCCCTCTGTGAGGAAGGAAGGCTGATACGACTCTAAAATATAAAGATGTGATGTGCGTGACACTAGATAGGAGGGAACTTACACACTCAAGGGCCTGACTCACACACACGAATCAGAATCTAAAACACCCCCACACAGTCTGCACTTTTGAGAAGAAAACATTGATGTCAAGTAGTTACCATTAAAAAATTAACCCACATCCTTATTTCCAATCATTCTAAATGCTCCTAATTATGACAGATGAAAAAACAAACTTTTCTCAAGTTCATGATATGAACCACAAAATATATGCTTCTTTTATATAGAAACAGGTAAAATGCATCAGGTTAAATTTTTCTGACGCATTTTAATTGTTTTTCTGTGCTCATACATTATACTCAATCCAATTTCTACTCATTTTTCATTTTTAGACCTAAATATTTTCCAAGGAAATTATATCTACAAAAAAAATATTATAACAAAAATTAATCTCTTCAGAATGCTCCTAGTTGGTGACCAGGCCGATGTCCACATTCATGTTAAGATAAATACATTTTGAAAGTGCACCCTCTGTTCAGCCTGTAAGACAGTTGCCCATGTTCATCACCAGCTGCAACTCACCTTCCAGGAGCTCACACAGCAAACCTCCGCTGTGGGAGACACATGCCCCTCGCACCCTTTCTCGCCCTTGCCCTCCCGTAGCAGCCCTGACACACGGAGCGGGACTGCTCACGCACCGGCTTCATTCTCCCAAGTGAACCCAAGGTGGCACCAGAAATTCACTCTTCAGTGTGAACGACCCAGAGCCCACCCACTAGGAGCGTTACTGTCGCCCAGTGGAGGGACCCACTTCTTGCCCTCACAATGGCCGCAACTTGGACTTTCATGTTGTCTGATCAACAGCAAAAGAAAATTTAAAAAGTGCTCAGGTTGGGAGACCTATGGCCTCCCCCTGCTCCTCCACACCCCTGAGATGTGAATGCTGAGAGGAAACCCCACACCCGACTTCAGAACCGGACACCCCGGAGAGGAAGCGTCCGTCCTGCCTCCGGGAACGAGGCTCCCTCGGAAGCCGTTCTATCACCTCTCAGGTGCATTAAATATGCATGTGTGCTCAAAACCGGTTTATCATAGCTATAAATGGAAGACGAGAAACTAAACGGCCTCAAAATAAATGCGATTTTTACATTGGGTAACAATTAACATTAATAAGGAGTCACTGTACATTATGCCAAATTTGTCTGATTGAACATGTTAGAAATATATTTTAGGAAATAAAATATATTTTGTTACCATGAACTCACTTATTTTGTGTGTGTATGTCAACTGAGTAGATGCTTATCAAAGATCTAAAAATAACAAAATTAAAGAATCAGAAGTTCATAATTGGTGTTAATGGTGCAGCTTATGCCAATTAGCAATGTATTAATTAAAGTGATGCGTTCATAAGTTTAGAAGCTTAATACATTTCTAGGAGGGGAGAGGAATCCCCAAGGTGAAAAAACAAACAAACAACGAAGGTATTTGAATTGGCCACATCTGTGAAGACCCATTTTCAATACAGATCTCTGTGCTGGTCTAAGCAGCACCCCTACAGGTTGCCAGGGCAGTTCTAATTGTGTCCAACTGTTGGCAAAATGCT